ATAGCATAATACTAAATGGACAGTCTTCGCTGAAGACGTTTGACGTCATCTCGGTTCTCTTTCACAAAAGTTTTTCGAAGTCGGACAACTTTAAAATCGGAAAAGCTCTGGTGAGCATTGCATTGCTTTATTTTATAGTGCTTTCTTTCCAGGTGACCATCCTGAACAGTGACCTACTGTCAGATGGGGTTTCTCCTATAGTCTGTTTATTCCTTATCTGGGATATGTACAAGTCTGAAGCTCTCGAACACAATCCATTTTTACAGTTTATTGTCAACTATTTGGTACGTTCTCCTGTTTCGATTAACGTAACTCCTCCAGCAACGTGACAGTTCACACTTCACTAGTTCCTTGCCTCTGCCCGCGAAGGTTTTCATGCACACCTTGATGAAGTTTCCAGACCGTGCTCGCGATGTAAGATAACTCTCGCGCCCTTTTGATATCCCCATTCTATAGCTATGCAAGACTACACCCCTGCAACTTTTAACGATGGATGCTGACGTTTCCACCCTGCGATCGGTTAGTTGTCGTTCCTCGTTCATTTTGTTTCTAGTGTGATTGGTCGATTTTTGACACACGCATCCAGGAGCATCTGCAGCCGATTCCCAAATTTGATTCTTGTGGTATTCCTTGTGTTTTGCCTGACGATGACACAATGAAGTCGACTGCGTACGTTTTAATTCTGTATTACAGTGCCGCATAACACGTTGACTGTGCCAACTTTACCTATGCAGTGTACATCTGGCTGTACGAAGTTAAAATCGCGCAGATGTCTCCAGATTTTGGAAAAAGACTGAAAAGTGTCGGTTATAGGCTCACCTTCAACTATGCATACATATCCGTTTCCGTCTTTAGCGGTATTGTGCAAATTTTAGAAAGCAGGCGCTTGAAATCGGGTTTGGTATAATCGACGTCTTTATTTGCGTGCCATTTCCTGTTCGAAGTGACCAGTGTATTTAGCATTTATCTGGTGTGAACTGCTATTTCCCAAAGTACCCATCCGTAAGGCCCGAGTTATACGCGCATAATTGCCTACTCCTTCTTGGGAAAAGAAATCTCTGAAATGTGATGTTGTAATTGTGGGAAGTGTATTTTGTTTGATCCTATGTTTATACCGAGACCTAATTGGTCATCTAGTCCTGCTATGTTGGCTTCGGTTAAATATGTTGAAAAAAAACATGACATCAGGTTTCATTGAAGTAACTCGTCTGCAAGGCGGACCATGAACTTTCCCCTTCGATTTCAGCAAACGTTTGCGGCGATGATTAGATTACCAAATGCCTACTGCGATCTTATAATATTATCGTCCCAATCGTTAAATAAAAGTTTTTGACGTCACCCCATTACTAACAGTAATTGAATAAGTGAGTAATGAATGGGTTTTGGGATTCTGCATATTTTGAATAAATGTATGTGAACTAAGAGCTTTGTGATACCTACACAAACG